AAAACCAATGAGAAAATGGGTGAAGTTTGGTTAGCAAGTTTAGCTGAGAATAAGAAGGTTTGAGAGGTAAATTAGCTAATTAAGCCTGGGAAAAAATATGCTTGGTACATGAAACTGAGAGGGGATGTTAGGTGGGTGGTTCATGAAACTGAGGGGGGAGATGTTAGATGGGGAGTGAAAGTTTTGGGAAGATGTTAGATGGGGAGGTGAGGGTACTGGGAAGATGGTGAAGCTATTTTGAGGAGCTGTTAGTTTCTGTTAAAGGTAAATGGTGATTTCAAGCATTGGGCAGGGAGGAATAACATGTTTTAGGAGGAATTAAATGACTGCATGCTAGTGTTGTGGAAGTGTTTTGAGGTAGATGGGGTTAAGACGTGTTGAAAAATGTGATTTGGAAAGGTTGGCATAATTAATACATGAATGAAAGAAATGAAGTTACCTAAGGATTAGCAGAGTATGCATAGTTCCTCTAAGGATAAGGAGATGAAAGAGTTAAGAATTATAGGGAAACAAGACTCAAGAAATCGTAATGACGCGATTGCAAACAAACCATACCCCCGGCGGGGGGTATGGTTTATAGGGAAACAAGCCTGTTGAGTATACTGGGTAAATTGTAGAGCACATTTATTGTTGACAAGAGTTGAGTGTAAACCATAAAAGTGGATTTAGGAAGGAGTAGGGAATGTTTACCAGGTACAGGCAGGCCCCACTTATACAGCAGGTTAGGTTTTGGGCTACCGCTGTAAAGTTAAAAATGGCTGTAAAGCAAAATACACCCCTTTTTTTTTTTACTTTCAAATTCACATGAAAGCCTGGTAACATGTTTACACTGTCGTATATAAAGTGAGCAATAGGAGCTTGGCCGAAAAAATCCACATACAGTGCACACGACTACTTCCAAATATTTGTGTCCTTAGCTTAGTGAGGGGTGAATATATTTATTGTAGAATCTGAATAAATGAAGAATGGGTATAATTGAACACTGCTGCATTAGTGAAACAGTAAAACAAAACCATGTACAGCAGAGTTTGCTTGCACTGTATGTATTTAGATTGGAGGATTTAATGACCATACACGTGCAGGTGTTGCACGTGTATGGATTAAGTGGTAGACTTCAAAATATTTGTGAGGTTTTTTATGCAGATAGGCCCAGGTTAGGGTATGTAAGAGAGAAGGGGAGACTTTCCTAGTGAAAGTAAGACTGATAAAGATGTGTGATGTCAACATGATGGTTTAATACATTTATAGACGGCAGATGGGTCTTAGATGAAAGATAAAGTGAACTGTAGAATTAAGGAAGTGGGAGGGAAGGTGGGTGGTGCATTAAAGCATCTGGGAAGATTGACTATATCCATAAGAGGCAAAGAGAGAGAGAGAAAGGAATATACCACAGTAGAGTTTTACGAACACTTGTATGGCTGTGAAGTGTTGATTTTAAATGTTGCAGCAAGGAGGCTGGAGGCAGTGGAGATTTGTTTGAGAGCAATGTGTGGTGTGAATATTATATGGAGAGCTTGTATAATTCAGAGGGCTGAGGAGAAGTTGAGATGATTTGGGTATTTAGAGAATGGAGCAAAACAGGATGACTGGGGGTGTATAAATCTCGGGTGGAAGGAAGGAGGGGGTCCTAGGGAAGGTTGTAGGGAAAGGATATTAAGAGTTTTTGAGCACCAAGGGCTTGGACATCCAACAGGCTTGTGTGAAAGTTAGGAGTGAGTGGCGGCAAATGGTTTTTACGACTTGCCCTGCTGTTGGAGTGTTAGCAAGGTAACAGTTGTGAAGGGATTCCAGGAAACAGGTTAGCCAAACTTGAGTCCTGGAGGTGGGAAGCACAATACCAACACTCTGAAGGAGGGGTGGAGATGTTGCATTTCAGTGTCTTCTGAACTGTGATGTCAGCACACTTCTGGCAAGACTGAATGAATGATGGTAAAAGTATGTTCTCTTCTGGTCACCCTGCCTCAGTGGGAGACGGCCTCTTGAACATACGCACGTATGTACATTTAAACATGCATGCATACACATTACATAATATATGCATATATAATATGTATATGATACACAAATAACTCGCATGGTGGAGACAAATTTATAACCGTTAACAGACTGACCGAAATATCGTCATAAGTTAGTCTTCTAATTGTGGGTTATTTGTGTATCCCAGCCAAGGTATTGTTTGTGCCTTTTTAAGTACAAACTACACACACACAATACACACACACACAATACACACACACACAATACACACACACACAATACACACACACACAATACACACACACAATACACACACACAATACCACACACACACATACACACACACACAATACACACACAACACAAACACAATACACACAACACAATACAACACACACAATACACACACAAAATACACAACAAAATACACCACCACAATACACACACACAATACACACACACACAATACACACACACAATACACACACACAATACACACACAAACTACACACACACACAATACACACACACTATACACCACACAATACACACAATCACACACACAATCACAACAATACACAACACAACACACACATACACACACACAATACACACACACAATACACACACACACTACACACAACAATACACACACACAATACCACACAATACACACACAACAATACACACACAATAACAACACACACTACACAAAACAATACACACACACACAAAAACCCCACACAAACACACACACAATACACACACACAATTACTCACAATACTCACAATACTCACATTTCACGCTCACATTAAAACACATTACATACGCATGCTCACATGCGCGTGCGCACACACAATTACACACAAATTACAATTACAACACACAATATACACACACACAATACACACACAATTAACACACATACACACACAATTACACACACACAATTAACACACACAATACACACACAACTTACAACACACACACATTACACACACACACACAATTACACACACACACACTTACACAAACACAATTACTACACCACACACAATTACACACACACATTACACACACACACACAATTACACACACACAATTACACACACACATCAATTACACACACACAATTACACACACACACAATTACACACACAATTAACACACACAATCACACACATTACACCACACACACATTACACACCACAATACACACACACACAGTACACACACACACAGTACACACACACACACAATACACACACACACAAATACATACACACACAATTACACACACAATTACACACACACATACACACACAATTACACACACACATACTCACATACCACATTACACACACATTACACACACACATACATTACACACAGCCTTCCACACACAATTACACACACAATTACACACACACAATTACACACACACACAATTACACACACACACAATTACACACACACAATTACACACACAATTACACACACAATTACACACACACACATGCACACACAATTACACACACACACACACACAAACATTAACACACCAGTATACTACACACATACATTACACACACACACACACACACACAGTACATACATTACACCACACAAACAGACCAGTTACATTCACACACACAGTACAATTACACACACACAGTACATTACACACACACAGTACATAATTACACACACACATACATACATTACACACACACAGTACATACATACACACACACACACACACACACACACACACACACACACACACACACAGTACATATTACACACACACACATACACACAGTACATACATTACACACACACAACACATACACACAGAACACACAACACACACACACAGTACATACATTACACACACAGTACATACATTACACACACACACAGTACATTACACACACACACAATTACACAATTACACACACATTACAACCACATTACACACACATTACACACACACATTACACACACACATTACACACACATACACACACACATTACACACACACACATTACACACACCGCACATTAAAACACACACATTACACACACACATTACACACACACACATTACACACACACATTACACACACAATGCACACACAATACTACACACAACTTGGACACAATTCATGCACAGAAAAGGCACACAGCTTCAGAGCTGCATATAATCAGCACACAATGTAATCAACACAGGCATACAGTAGGCACACATGGATACAGTCAACATGCTTGCACGCACATACACACACATGCACACAGATATCTCAGTGTGCGTATGAGCACAACACACTCGCAATACCCCACACACATGCACACAGTGCACACACACACGCATGCAATACACGCATGCAATACACATGCACGCATTACACACGCAATACACGCACACAATACACGCGCACAATACACATGCACGCATTACACACGCAATACACGCACACAATACACGCGCACAATACACACACAATATACACTTATAATCCACATTGAACAGTAGCGAGATAACTAATATTTTTGGTTTAACTAGAGACCTTCCTCTGGCAGTATAGTAGTGGAAAGAAGGCCTTTAAATATGCTAGCTAGTCAGGTGGATCTTTAATGCAGTAGGCCTTGTGCCTAGTGTAGGCTAATAGGCCTATTGCATTTTTTTTTTTTTTGCACTCCTGACTTTTTTGCATATTTGTTTCTTCCAAGTGATTTTTCATTGCCTGAGGAGGGTCCCCAGGTAGGTTGAAAAATATTAGTAGTGTTGTGCTGTTGAACATGGGTTATTAGTGTGTATTACTACCTGTGTATGCTCAGTGTATGGTTCACTATTTGTATGTTTGTAGATATGGTCGGGTGGGGTCATGCTTTTAAATGCGTATGTAGCAGATGTGTTGAACTTAAAATGGAATGTTCATTTTTTTTCCTCACTGGTCCAAGTTATGAGGGAAGTAGCAGTGTTAATAGTCACTCATTGTTTTGGGCTGTTCTTTCTTAGATCGAGGCGTGCCGTGTGATTGTTGACGACCGGGGAAAAACCACAGGTGATGGCATCGTGATATTTGCAGACAAGAAAGGTGCCACACTTGCCATCAAGAAGTGTCAGGAGGAGTGCTATTTCCTCACCAGGTATAGTTTGTCTTCGTGCCGTCATCTCTACTGTATTTACCAGGGGCATATCCAAGCATGCTGGAGAGTGACACTTGTCTTATCGATGACAAATTGGAGTTACATCAAGAACAAGAAGTAACACCATTTTGGGTGGGTGGGTGGAGGGGGTCTTGGTGTACATGGGGATAGTGATTTTAAATTATCATTTTATTAATGGTGGGGTTACAATATTAGGTAGTTCGTTAAGTAATCTTTACTTGCAAAGCAATACTTTTAATCGTTGTTGTTGCTTTGTTAACTGTAAAGATTAATGTTTCCATAATAGTTTGTTGAGGGTTAATGGATGGGGTGGTTATGGGTTTGTCTTGGTATAACCAGATCTACACCACATAGTAATTATCATTAGGTCCATTGTTTTCAACTTACACTTATATTGTTTCTATAATGTAAGATTTTAGTTTTAAGTTGGGAATACTTACACCAGCTGGTTTACAAATGCAGGTCTCTCTCGTTTTATGAGAATTCGCTATTATTTGCAATATTTTTATCTGTAATTCTATGTATTCCATGTACATTAACCATATATGATTTGTATAGTTGGCAAAGATGCAATTATGTGGAATTAAGTGTTTATAGTCTAAGGTTAAGACAGCTGTCAGGGCCTGGAACAGCTGTACAGAATAAAACGAGGGACACCTGTATACGTATTTTACAGAGGCTGAGGAAATGCCTCCCAGGTAGGGATGTCTGTTTTGTAAATGTTAGTAAAACTGGAAACCTATTTGATGTATAAGGGTATTTTAAATTAAGAACAATTATAGGTATTTGTACTCAAATTATCATTGTGTTGGGGAAGTATAATTTTTTATATGTAAATTGGAGGTTAAAATATGTGTAGAAAAGTATCAGTTGTAGCAGTTGCAGCTTCTTATTGATCCACTGTTGTTTAAAGGCCTCTTCCCTGTTTTAAATTGCTTTATTATTAGACTGTTGTAGTTTGGGTCAAGTGTCTTTTGTTGAGATTTGCTTTTAAACTGTATATAAAGTTTTCTAGCACTTAATTCTTTTACTGTAAACTTGGCCTGAAAGGTCTTACCAAGGCAGGGTGTTGCATAGAAAACATTGATCAGTTGCTGTCTTTCCTAAGGGCACAGACTTTACAATCTAGTGTTGTCACACACAAGTGCATCATTCCTACACCCATTTGCAGAGGGAAGGCAGCACTACTACAAACTACTTATCCCTGAAATTCAAGCTCAGGTATCACTCCTACAGCATGTTGAAAATCACATGCATCCACTCCTTTGTAATTTTCTCATTTGCCAGACTTTTGGCACTTTTTTTTCTCCCATTTACCTTTTATTTATTTTATTCACAAACTTTTCTTAATTACATGACCCAAATATTTAATATCAAACTATTTTAAGTTTTTTTACTTTCATAATGTGCCTAATAATTACACTGTACAGTGTACTACATTCAAACTTACTGCAGCAGCATTAAAATACCATGATTTACACCTATCTAAAAGCATTGTCAACTCCATCTTTTCTTGTATCTATTTTGGCACTAGTTCTCTTTCACATTTTTAATTGTATTTGGTTCAAAATAGGTTCTCCCTAACTTTTTATTAATTCAGCTACTAAGGGCTAAGACACTAATCATTACAGTGCCATTGCTCTTACTAGTACATTCGTTTCAACACCTGGTTAACATGCATTTAGTATGGTACAGTACTGTGAAACCTGAAACTTGCTCTTTCCTCATCAGTTTACTTTCTGAAAAGGCAGTTATACCATTGATCCCTTGATCTGATTAGATAGTATGTTCATAATACTCTCACTGGTAATCAATTATTGCAGTCATTGTTTTTATCTAAAAAAAGCTTTTGACTACGTGGCATTAAATATCCTAGCTCAAGTCCATTTCTTAGGTCTCTGGGGCAATTTACCTCAGTTTTTTTTTTTATCGTGGCACTTGTGTATTCTGGGTAAATTGTCGCACCTGCTGTTAGGGCATGTGTGTTCACTGTGATTGATAGAGAGTGAAAAGATAGTTCTGACATTTATTGTATAAGAGTACGAGGATGTAGTACACAGGTCTTTACACTGCTACTCTAGGTCTTGAACCAAGATGAATGGCACTGGCTTGGAAGTCCTAATGCACCTGATTCATATTGCATACACAAACATAACAGTTAATGGTAACATACAAGGGGCACCCAGTACTATAATGAGTACTGCATTTATATATATAACTGATAAAATAACTTTCCCTTGACTAATTAAGTAGAAAGTGCATCACAAGGCTGCCCTCAGTATTACCTTGTTTCTGATGGCTATGAATTGTTGTCTTGGTTCTTCCCGCACTATCTGGTCATCCTTTATGTTGATGACTTAGCCATCGCTTGTACAGGTTCAGAATGTCTACTTATAGCAAACACCCTCCAATATACTGTTAATTGTGCTGCCACTTGTGATTGCACATAATGTACTGTTTTCTGTTATTAAAACAAATTCAGTAACCTTCACACTATGCTCTATCATCTTGACTTAGTTTACACATGTATGGCTTCCCTATTCCAGTACATGCTAAAGTTAAATTCCTGGTCTTCCTCTTCTATTGTTGAATGTCATGAAGACTCAAAACTACATATTTTAATTTGGTGAATCTCCTTAAAACTCTAGTCCCTTTTATATAGGGAATCAGTAGACATATTATAACATTGATTCAGTCCTGGTTCTTGTTCTTTTTTTTAAGCTAGGAATGTAGACTAAATATATTTTGCAGCTTCTTCAGTTACTCCTAATAAACTTGAGGCTGCTCTTCCTCAGGAATTATACAATGAAGTTAATGCCTTTCATCATCAGGGGTTATGTTTATGTTTAGGAGTTTTTCAGTCCTTCCCAGCTTAGAGGCTGTATACAGAGGTAAACATCTCTTCTTTACTGGATTGATAATGCTTTTTTTAAATTTTTGCTCATGTATGTCATAATTACGCAGCAAGTTTAAAGTCGAACCCATTTATTGTGATCCTGTAATATCCACCTGTGAACTTGGGTAACATTTCTTTCTTAATCATTCCTGTAAGTTCACCCTGCATTGTATTTTTCCCTCCTACCCTCTTGGGAAGTTGCAAAGACACAAATTTGTTCCTCTCTCCTATATCAGAAGGATTACATACCCGCAATAAATTTACTGTTTCCTCTATCACTTTCTTATGTGCTTTGGCAGTGTAAACTGATTGGCTCCAAAGGCCCAGAGTAGTAGTAATTCAGGGACGTTTATTAAGGTTGGCTGGCATTTTCACAATAGTTAATACAATCATTGGTACTGTCATACATGTTGCAACACTATCCTTCACTTCATTCATTATTGTTTGACTTCCACAGTGTATTATGAGCTATCCAGAAATTTGACCCTGCCCACATCGTATAGTATTATATACGTATACAACAGTGGTTACACTATAACTAACTGATAGTTTTTCTGGGTCTCTGGACCCACTGATGGCTTGTTAGTTCCACACTGACACCTCATGGAGGGACTGCCAAGCTGCTCAATTAGTTCACCATATCATAAACTGTCCCATCTGCCAGATAGCATGGCAAGTGGACTGAGGGAGAGAGACTGAGACTGAGGGAGAGAGACTGAGACTGAGGGAGAGAGACTGAGACTGAGGGAGAGAGACTGAGACTGAGGGAGAGAGACTGAGACTGAGGGAGAGAGACTGAGGGAGATAGACTGAGGGAGAGAGACTGAGACTGAGGGAGAGACCGAGACTGAGGGAGAGACCGAGACTGAGGGAGAGACCGAGACTGAGGGAGAGACCGAGACTGAGGGAGAGACTGAGACTGAGGGAGAGACCGAGACAGAGAGAGAGACCGAGACAGAGAGAGAGACCGAGACAGAGAGAGAGACCGAGACAGAGAGAGAGACCGAGACAGAGAGAGAGAGACCGAGACAGAGAGAGAGAGACCGAGACAGAGAGAGAGAGACCGAGACAGAGAGAGAGAGACCGAGACAGAGAGAGAAGACCGAGACAAGAAGAAGAGACCGAGACAGAGAGAGAGAGAGACCGAGACGAGGAGAGAGAGAGACCGAGACAGAGGGGAGAGGAGACCGAGACAGAGAGAGAGAGACCGAGACAGAGAGAGAGAGACCGAGACAGAGAGAGAGAGACCGAGACAGAGAGAGGAGAGAGACCGAGACGGAGAGAGAGACAGAGAGAGAGAGGACCGAGCAGAGAGAGAGAGACCGAGACAGAGAGAGAGAGACCGAGACAGAGAGAGAGAGACCCAGACAGAGAGAGAGAGACCGAGACAGAGAGAGAGAGACCGAGACAGAGAGAGAGAGACCGAGACAGAGAGAGAGAGACCGAGACAGAGAGAGAGAGACCGAGACAGAGAGAGAGAGACCGAGACAGAGAGAGAGAGACCGAGACAGAGAGAGAGAGACCGAGACAGAGAGAGGAGAGACGCGAGAGAGAGAGAGAAAAAGAAGACCGAGACAGAGAGAGAGAGAGAGAAAACGAGAGGAGAGAGACCGAGAGAGGGGAGAGAGGAGAGAGGACCGAGAGAGAGAGAGAGAGAGACCGAGAAAAGAGAGACGAGACCGAGAGAGAGAGACCGAGACCGAGACAGAGAGACCGAGACGAGAGAGAGAGACCGAACAGAGAGAGAGACCGAGACGAGAGAGAGAGACCGAGACCGAGAGAGAGAGACCGAGACCGAGAGAGAGAGACCGAGACTGACAGAGAGAGAGACCGAGACTGACAGAGACAGAGACCGAGACTGACAGAGACAGAGACCGAGACTGAAAGAGACCGAGACTGAAAGAGACCGAGACTGACAGAGACAGAGACTGACAGAGACAGAGACCGAGACTGACAGAGACAGAGACCGAGACTGACAGAGACAGAGACCGAGACTGACAGAGACAGAGAGAGACCGAGACAGAGACAGAGAGAGACCGAGACCGAGACAGAGAGAGACCGAGACCGAGACAGAGAGAGACCG